ACTATCTAATAAAATTAAGTTATAATATAGAGAATATTTTTGTATAAATATTTTTCTTATTTTATTTTATTTTAATTACATTTTTTTTTCCATTCAGAACGTTATGGGCGTGACACGAAGCTGCCAGATGGAATTTAGTGACACGTAGAAAGGTGTTGTTTGGACACATGGATTTTGTGTCAGCGTTTGTACCATCAAAATAAAATAAAATTATGGCCGTGATATGGCAACACTCTCTTTGTATAATTTTTTTATACGATTCTTACATATTTAAAAGTAATTAGATATATCTAATTTAATATTATGGGTACTAAATAAATAAAAAATAATTATTTAAATAATATATCATATAAAACGTTATCTATAAATTATTTTCCATGAAATTAAAATAATCTTTTCAACCATAAATTTGTTGCTTCTTGATTGGCCCACTATTAAATGATTGGGTCAGAGGAGGATTTTTCTGGGCCACAACCCAGAGGATGATTGGATTGGCCTTTTTCTTCGAGGTTCGGAGTTGGGACATTAAGAAGCCCATTGGAGTAGAATAGCAAACAGGCCCAGAGGTGGATTGAATTGAACCGGCGGCTTTATTTTCCATTGAGAAGTCCATTGGATTTGATCGTTAGGCTTAATAAGAAGCCCATTGGATTTTAATAGGAAAGAGGCCCATATGTGAAGTGGACCGGCCTTTTTCTTCTCCCTTCGCTACTTTCTTCCTCCTCCGTCGAGACTCAGACTCTCTCAACAGACACAGCAGACATCGTCTCCCCTTTAGTGGCGACGCGAGTTCCACCTTCTCTTTTTGATCTCAAGCTTCGGCCGAAGACTCAGCAGCGTCACTTCCGTTGCAGGACGGAAGAAAACGAAACCTAAGGTCTTCTTTCACTCCTGTTAGACTGCGGCACTCAAGCACTTGATTAAAACAAAAAGCCAGAAATGGGGGTGGAGTCAAACGGTGCAGAACAGAGCGCTACAGAACATATGGAAGAGAACGTGGAAGCCCTGCTTGAGGTATGTGCTTGATGTTTTGATATTCATATTCTTCAGTTGTGTATAGAGCTGTTTACCACTGGTTTGTTTAATATATGCAATTTCATAAACAAGGGGTTCGTAAAAGAGATAATTGGTGTAATAAATTTGAGATCTTTACACTACCCCATTAGTTCTGGTGACAGGCACTAGTTGATGGTGGTTTATGGCCCCTTTTCAGAAGAAACGAGTAATGCCCCTCTGACTGTTTTAGTTTGAGAATTATTCAATTATACCAGAGTTGGGTTCTAAAGTAACAAACTTGAAAATGATCTTTAGATCAATGCTTGGCACGAACAACTCTTCTTGACACCAATACAAATGTTGTCTGCCTTTATCTGCCTCTTATCTCTTAGATGCTAACTGTCCAAATTTGTTGCTTCCTTCAAGCTTCTTAATTTGATTGACTTGTATGTCTATTTTTGTCTTCCAGGCTGCTAGATATGATGACCTTGATGATGTCATAAGTTTAGAATCTGCTGGTGTTTCTCTAGACTCCAAGGATTCACAAGGCCGTACTGGTTGGTGTTAGTTTTATGGCTTCAATACCCCTTACAATCAGTTTAGCAATTGGTCATTGTTGATTGTCCCTTTATGTCTTCTTGGCATTTTAGCATATCACACTTATACATGACACTTCCCGCATTGAATGCTGTCACTTAACCCAATTATTACACTGTAAAAGTTCCATGAGGTACATGCTCAACTGATTAGACCTTGTACATGGTTCACTGATATCTAACTTAGTAATGCCAATTCTTGTTTGCAGCTCTTCATATGGCTGCAGCTAATGGACATCTTGGTATAGTGGAGTATCTCATTGGCAAAGGAGTGGTAAGGAAACCATCTTATTAGTATTTATTTTTGTGGTTGAGGTTATCTGACTATACATTAGCCAATTTGCTAATATATGAATGATTATTACCGTTCATAGTTTCATCTTTTGTTTGGCTCAAATGTTGTCTTGATGTCCAAATAAACAAGTTCAGCAAAGGAGTAACTATGAATGTACTTTTGGGAGGGCTAAAAGAAAAAAATGAGAGAAAAAAAGATTAATAAGCTGATGATTTGACAAATTTAAGAGGACATCAAGATTTTTACCTTACTTGGCCACATGGGCAAGTTATGAAGTATTTCAAGTAGATAGCCTTGGGAATTGTTTAAGATAATGTAAGTTACTTGTCTTTCTTCTTTTTCGTTTTTTTTTTTTTTAAAAAAAAGAAAGTTGGGAATGTGGCTAGTAATCACTTAGTCCTATGCATTTAGCCCCTTCGTGTGATTTTGATCTTTTACTAAATGGCCTACATTCATCATAGAAAGTGGCACTTGCACAAGTTTGTGTCATTTTTGTTGACTATTTGAAAGCTTTAATCATGAATAGAATGAGGGACAATAAGACACGCAGCATGGCAAGTTTAGTATTGATGACTAATGATTATGTGGATCCAAGATGCACTATAAGATTCTATGTAATCTATGAAGTGTACATACAGAAGGAAAAAAAATAAAGAAAATATGAATTTTTCCGTATTTTTCCTACTTTTTATGGTTATTCTTCGATTTCTTTTGCTGAAAATCTTGTTTAGTTTTTAAAGCTTCTATGTTATCAGGATCTTAATGCATCTAATGAGGAGAAGAATACCCCTTTGCATTGGGCATGCCTTAATGGCCATATCGAGGTAATCATTCCAACCATCTTGTACGGCAGCAGTTATTGTTGATGTTATTCAATTTTAGAGTTTCTTCATCAAATTTAATTTGTTGACAGGTGGTTAAGAAATTGGTTTTAGCTGGAGCAAATGTAAGCACTCTAAATAGGTTAGTTGTTTGTGCCTTTGTGGCATGAAAAAACTCTTTAAGAGTTTGGCAAACTTCAGTATGAATCTTTTATCCTTTCTATTTTATTGTATGATTAACTGTGGAGTTTTGGGACTGCATGTTGAACAGTCATGAGCAGACTGCAATTGATGAAGCCCTGAGTAGGGGAAAGATGGAAGTTATTGATGCCATCAACACATCAATGGCAGAATTGGAGCTTACTGGTGTCAGTGTTTCTTAATTTCAGAACTCCATGACGCTTCTTTAGTTTGATAAAGTATGTATCACTTTCCTAAAGACATGCTCATAAAAAATAGCATAGCTATCTTCTTCTACCTGGTTCTTGTACCTGAAACAAAGTTTTATGAAACTTCAGTTGCCCTTTAATTTCTTTGGTGAAAAATAGAAAACTTGCCTGATCAATTTGATGTGATATAAAGCATAAAAGAACGCCTGCAGATGCTTTAGTTTATGAAGATCTATTTCATGGTGTGAATTTTGACATGTTCCCATGTATGCTGCAAAAGAATCCAACCTTGGCATGGAACAAGGGATGTCATCAATGAACGAATAAAGGGAAAGGAAAAATAAGACCCCTTTCCAGATTTGTGATTGGAAATGGGAGATTGAAGCATCAGAATCAGAAACCCCATTTCTGATAATATATCTATCTTTTAAGCAACTTGCTTTCTTCTAGCCATGGTTGTCTAGAAAGGCACCAATATTTATTGTTGTTGTTGTTCTTTTTAAACCCTTTTTTTGGGTGGAAGAAAGGCACCAATGTAGTAATGTATTTCAAGTACTATTAATTTCGAGGATCAAGAGTTTTCGTCCTCATGGAATGAGGGAACTACTGTTTTTTCCACTCCATTTGCCCCTTGGTGAGGATAATTTATTTAATTAATGCTACAAGATGCACCCTTTATTGTGTTTTATTTTACTATATTTTAAGTTTATTATGATTACTGAAAGTGAGAAAATAATGGCAGCATCATAGCACCCAAAAAGAGGACTTAAAATAAAATATCTCTCTACGGACCCTTTAGTATAATAAAGAAAAAGGCATGAAATCAAAAACCAACCTCACACAGACACTTACTTTGGGTTTTGAGCACAAGTGTGCACAAGCATTTGCAGTTTCCATCATTCAGGCTTTTACATAATGGATGTCCCAGTGCCCAAGCATATGATTACTTTGGGCCAATATTCCCATGAAAACAACGTTTTAGTTTAAATTTATTCTTAAAACATTTTTTTTATTTTTGGAAGACAACTTCAATTCAAGAGTAATGATGTAAGGACCTAAAGCACACTGACTGAAAGCAACACACAAAATTAAATAAAAAACTATTATGTAATGCAAACTACATAAAATTGTAAAATATGATTTTTAAATAAAAAATTAAATTAATTGGGGTCTCTCTTCTTTTTTTTTTTCAATGCATAAATCATTTTCCTTGATTCAATATAGTGACAGTCTTTTGGGAAATCAAATTATTAATCAGATTCAATTCATCTTTGTTTATGAGTTAAATTTAATATAAACTAATCATAAGCCGAAAGAGGGTGTTCCAAATTCAAAAGATTTTACATATAATAATACTCAGCCCACAGCATGGACAAAGCCAGTTTTGAGCAAACACATGCATATTTTACTTGAACCAACGAAGTCAATCCAAACACAACAAAAATGTAGTGTAAAATTGTCAAATATGGGTGCCAGTTGCCAAGTTAGGAGGGCAGTAATAGAACTCACTTGGAAGCCGAAAATTATGACATCTAAAAAACCAAAACCTTATTAATTAAGTAAGAAGTAACCAGAGGCAAGGTGCACTTTTACCAACGCGGCTAAGGTGGCCAGTGCTTACAGTGTTGATGCAAAGTTTTTTGGCCTTATTGTCATATTTCCATGGTAAGAAAGAAAATGATGATGATGAAGATATAAGACAATAATTGAGAACCAATTTGTACTGGAGTGGATTTGGAAGGAGGGCATTTGCTGAATGGGTAAATATATTTGTACGAAAAGTTGAATTCACAACCATTTGAGGAAACTGTTGCTTTGGAAATTGAGAGAGGCTTTTCTTTAGTTTTTCCATCCCTTGTCCTGTCAAAGCCCCCACTTTGGTCTGAAACAGATCAAAGGCTGCTGTAAATAAGATTACAAGAATTGCCTAATTAGCTGCCGCCCTGAAACAGGCTTGAATATGAGGTCTTTTGATTGACACAGTTTTGGGAATTACCTTCTCTGTTATTAGATTTTAAACATGGTTCTGATTTGGTTTTTCAAGAAACAGAAGCTATGCATTTGCATATTTTAGATGGAATATTTTTGTACCATACACCTAGAGTTGTATATGATGTCGCAATAGCAAAGATTTTAAGAGGGGGAAGACAAACTCAACTAAAACCAAAGGTATTCATTCTATTATTGAGAGGATTTTCAATTCATTGCATTTCCTTATGCTTTGACAGTATTATGAAGTAGAAGTCAAATGGCTTCTCAGGAAACAATATACAGAAACAAGCAGCTGCCTTTTCACAAGTATTTGACAGTTGCACCTTCTAGTCATGTAGAAACCCTCGAAACCCTAATCCAGTGAGCACTTCTGGTCATATTTGGTTGAATGAATGGTTGTTCCCTGGTCAAATCATAAAATTAAAGTTAATTATAGAGAGAATATATATGACATGTTGGGAATAACTAATAACCCCTATGCCTAAGTTTTAGTTATTCTCTTCAAACTCATTTCCTACATGAAAATTGTAGCAAGCAAAGAATAGTCAATCATTCCTCTCTTATTCTATGCTCTCTAGTATGAAAGAAGCAAAACTGACACTGAGAAACAAATTATCATGTGCTTCCTTCCCAATTTAATCTCATGCAACACTAACAGACCTAATTAAACAAACAAAGAATAAGCTGAGCCATTATAAGAAAAGAGTTCTGACACTCAAATACACATCCAGTCCTCTTTGGTACACTTACTACTGCAAAACTAAGATTCACTTGTGCAATAGTTTCTTACTAAAACTGAAATATCAAATCACGATAAATATGAGACCCAATAATACAATGAAGCACAAGACAAGTATATCTTTTCTTTAACTGGTTACTAAATACCCTCTTCTTTTCTTTTCTTTTTTTTTTTTGGCTGGACACCCTAACTCAGATCATGCCTCACAAAACTTAAGCAGCATACAAGTATGTCTTTGTTCTTGCTACCACTTGGTTTAGAAACACGAAACATAGCATTTCAAGATTAATTAATTAGTATATATCATAAAGTATAGGCAAGAAACACACAAAAAATGATATAATTGAATCCACATGATGAAATTCATTTAACATGCCGACGAGCAGAAAGTAAAGGGCAGACAACCATTTATATTCATGCATCATCTTATTTTATTCCACGGTAGTCAACATTTATACACATATTATGACAAAATAGCACAAGGAATAAAGTAAGCAGAAGTAGGTGACAAACGACACGGATTTTGACAACAAAACAAAACAAATGTGCCAATGGAATATTATGGCACAGACATCCAATTCATTGTATATTTCTCAATCAACAAACAAGTATCCGATTAAGTAAAATGGAAAGAAGGCCTTATCTGCAAATTCAATTTATCAATGTAAACTGCATCACAAAGTACAAAATGAAAGTCTCAAGCATCAGAAAGTGGGGGCACTGTGCAGATTGCAGCATTAATGTTCCTAACAAAAGCCGTGAGAAGCAGCAAGATTCAAGTCATTAACATTTGAACTTCGGTGGGGAAATATTACTTATACTAGGATAACATAAAAACATAGCTACATGATGCATTCATGAAAGCATGCAATTGCTACATTGTCCTATTGCAAAAATGATATAGCAACATAGTGGGCCAACAGAGACAATCCATGTAATGCTATTTCTTCTTGGCTATTCATGATGGTGACACAACAACTACTTCTCGTGCCAAAGTCTAAAGCAACACAACAATGATAAATTTGCCATTTACTTCTTGCTCATCATCAATCAAACTCACCCCCGTAGCAACAAGAACTGCAGTGACCTTATGTTAGCCCCCAACCATGAAAAAAATATGGTTGGAATATGACAATTCTCATAAGAAACTAATTGGTTACGACTAGCAGGAGAAAACAGCCTGTTTAGGTGGGGAGTAAAGGTGAGGAGGATGGAAAACACTTTACACTGTATATTTCCACTTTTTTTTTTTTTTTTGTGTTTTTCCAAACAGAAATCCTATTGAACAAAAGGGATGAGAAAAGAACAGGCAACAACTTCAAGAAAGCAAATAGCTTGTATCATGACATTCATATTATCAACTTGTACAGGATTTTTCACCCTATTTCTTTATGATTTCTAATGTGGTACAGTAAGTACCTTAACAGTAAGTAAAATGTAGTTTAAGTCAATCGAGAAAATGATAATCATGACTCGATAAGTGCAATTACAAATGTTTAATTGAAGATGGGAAACAATAAAAATCAGAGCCAAGGAGCAGAGATCAAAATAAAGCCCATATGTAAACAAGAGATACGATGTTTATGGAGAAGAATTTACCAAAACTCTTGGCATAGGTAGTAGGAAGAATATGAATTTGGCTACAATTCATTAAACTCGGAAAGAAAAGTTCAGTTTATTGGATTACCGTAGCTGGAACCGGCAATTAAGCCACCACCAGTGGCAGCGTAAACCTCGGAGGGATCAAGAACCGGGGAGGAAGCTGAGCCCCCATTTCTCCCATTACCACCACCACCACCACCGCCACCACTACCACCACTATTACTACCACCACCTAAATGCAATTCAGATAGATTAGGAAACCCCTCTCTAGCTTCGACACTTTGGTCATATAGGATCCCTTTGAACACATGACCGCCAATGTTAACAACTGCTTGGTATGCATACTCATCCTCACCATCTTCTAGTGCTGTCACCCGGACACACTTGAATACTGCCGGTGCACGAATTTGTTCCGGTAATCCCTCCTTAAAGCTTGCATCTGCAGTAAAATTCAACAAAACCCTACTCAATTTGGAGACGAATTAACAACCCTAAATCTTTTCTTGTAGTACGACACATAAAATTGATATAAGCGATTTGGTTAAAGTGAAGAATTTCCAGGGACATTTAAATGATGAATACTTAACCCTGATGACTTGAGCTAGTGTCGAAGCTTCTAGGTGGAGTAGTGTTAGATGTGGAAGTGTGAGATGTTGTTGTGGTCTGCGAGAGTCTAGGTTTCTTGGCACCGGAAGTCGACAGGGAAGAACCAGCAGCCGGCCCACCCGCTGCGGGCGTTATTAGCTGCCGCTCCCTCCTCTTAGCTGCCGGTACCCACGTGCTCTTTACGTGAGTAGGGCAGTCGAAACCCCGACTCTTGCAGCAGGTTCTACACCTTCTATGGCTGCAGTCCTTTTTGGCCTGGTTCCCGCAATCTTGACACGTAGTCCCCGAACTGGAACCCGAGCCGACGCTTCCAATCCCACCAGTGCCACCACTAGCGCTGCCAACACTCTGTACCAAATTCATGGGAGGAGTGGTGTTGTCAGGTACGGAAGCTGGTTTTTTGAAATAATGAGAAGAATTCGGATTCTGCCACAACTGCATCCCACTCAGTTTGCTACGACTATTATTCAACAAATCCGCATCCTCCATATTTTGTGGAGCGAGACACGGAGCCGTGGTAAGAAGGGGGATGACACCCACCCCTACACCGACACCCAGCGCAGTTGCAGCATTTGGACCGCTGATTTGATCGTTGGCCATGATGTGGTCGTGCTGGTGGCCATGGTGATGGTGATGATTAAAAGACGACGCCGGAGCCACCACGAAGACGTCTCGAAGACCCACCATGCCCATCTCAGGAGAGAGCCCGTAGTTGATCGGTCTGGCAGTGGGCGGCCAGGGGGCGGAGGAGGGTCCGGAGGCGGCAGAGCCAGGGCCAGCATTAAAGCCGAGAGAAAGGTCGTCAGGACCAGCGCGGATTGCCGTTGAGGAGGAGGTTGCCGCCCAGTCAGCAAAGGCTCCAGAATCCGATGTCAGCTGCCTTCTTGTGGTAGCCACAACTGCAATGATATTACTGATGACTGACTATATAACAAAAAATAAAAATAATAATAATAATAACAATTTTTGCTTAGGACTAGACCAACAAAAAGGGAGAGATGATAGATCCTGTTGCTTTGGGTAGCAGCAGTTTCTGCATCTGTGTGGTTTCTACTTCTGCTGTTGCTACTACTACTGTCAGCTAGGCTTTTCTTGGAAAAAAAAATGACATTTGGGGTTGTGAGGAAGAGATGAGTCTGAGTCTTTTGAGTCTGAGCTGCTAGCTACTCTCAAAGATATATGTGATGACGACTCTTAAAATCTTTCTCTTTCTAGATTTAATATTTTCTTCCGTAGTAGGAACAGTTGTAGTAATTTCCTCTGCTGCTGTTGCCGAACTTTTTCAGTACTCTCTTAATTCATCATCTTCTTCTTCTTCTTCTTCTCTCTCAAAGGGCTCTTTGAAAGCGATCGAAGGTAAGGA